CCTCGGTCTGGCCCCATGCCTGGGGGGGGGATTGGGGAGGGGATTCAGCTGCCCAAGGTCCCAGGCAAGCCCCTCTACACCCCCTTAGAGGCAGGATCACCCCCCTCCAAATGCCAGCTCATGCATCCTGCTTGCTGAGACCTTGAAAGCTCATTTCTCCCCAGACACCAGCTTGAGACCCCCTTCCCCCTCCCTCCCCTGCTCCAGCTGGAGACTGTCCCCACCGACAGGCCTGGGGATTTCGTGGGGAAGGAGGGAGGGGACCGGTGCCCGTGGATTTGGGTGGCCACGGCCGAAATGCGGCACCACTAGGGTGGAGCAGGGCTGGGCGGGGGGGCTGGCAGGCAGGGAGGCCTCGGCGGGTGCCACCGGCTGGTAGGAGAGGAGCTGGGCTGGCGCTGCTGGGGTAGGGGCTCACAGCCACCACGACCACCCCAGCGCTGGACCCCCGCCCCACCACCCTCACCCAGGAGTCCCTGTCCCCATGGCAACCTCCTCCATGGCAACCATCTCCCATGGTAACCATCTCCCATGGCAACCACCTCCCATGACAACCTCCTCCCCATAGCAACCACTTCCTCATGGCAACCACCTCCCATGACAACCTCCTCCCCATGGCAACCACCTTCCATGTTAACCTCCTCCCCATGGCAACCAGCTCCCCATGGCAACCAGCTCCAATGACAACTATCTTACACAGCAACCAGATCCCCATGGTAACTAGTTCCCCATGGCAACTATCTCCCCATATCAAACAGGTCCCCTTGGCAAACAGGTCCCCACAGCCCCCTCCCTCCCAGCAGCTACCCCGCTGGCCCCTTCAGCTCTCCCAGGGTCCCCATACCTCTTGTGCTCTTCCACAAACTCCACGATCTCTTCTTTGCTGTTGGGCTTGTCAGGGATGGTGACTGGCTCATCCATGAAGGGCTCGTAGAAGTCGATCTCATTGAGCTTCAGGGTCAGTTTTTTGGCCACCTTGGGCAGAGGTCAGAGATCCCTGAGCCACCCATGAGCACTGGCACTAAGAGCCGATCCTGCCATGCCGGGACCCTCCCCCACAATGATGAGAGGGGCAGAAACCTGTTATCTGTCCCCAGGGCCCCTCGTACCTTGCTGTCAAAGGTGGCGAAGAAGGGGATGTAGGGGTGGAACTCCTCTGCTGCCTCCTCGAAGGCCTTGAAGTCTGAGGGAGCAGAGCCAGCTCAGAGTGGGCATCAGGAGCCAGGTACCAGCACCAGCACCAGGCACCCCCAGCCCAGATCCATCCTGGTGGCTCTGGCTCCAGTTTAGACCCCCACCTCCCGAGGTCCCAAACGTGTCCAGGGTTATCCTGATCAGTCCCCAGTGCCGTCCTGCCCCCTTCACTGCTGTCCCCACATCCTGTTCCAGACTAGAGGGCCTGCAGCCAGTCCCTGACCCGGTTATGGGGAGGTTGGATGGCATAATGTGCTGGTAGAGAGCTAGGGAGATGGATGGGGAGATGGATGGATGGATAAGTGGATGGATGAATGGATGGATGGATGGGTAAGTGGATGGATGGATGGATGGATAAGTGGATGGATGGATGGATGGATGGATGGGTAAGTGGATAGTTGGATGGAAGGATGAGCAGGTGAGTAAGCACAAGGGTGGAAGGGCGAGTAAATGAAAGGACATGTGGGTAGTAAATGAAAGGACATGTGGGTAGGAGGATGAGAGGGACAAGCAGACATGAAAGTAGATGAGTGAAGGGATGACATGTGAATGATGTGTGTGAGAGAGGAAAGACAGACATATGCCTGGACATGTAGATGCCCAGGTGCACACATGAATAGATGGTGGACAGGG